GGGATGACATGATATGATGCATGACTATGGTGGGCTGGGATGACATGACAAGATGCATGACTATGGTGGGCTGGGATGACATGATATGATGCATGACTATGGTGGGCTGGGATGACTTGATATGATGCATGACTATGGTGGGCTGGGATGACATGATATGATGCATGACTATGGTGGGCTGGGATGACATGATATGATGCATGACTATGGTGGGCTGGGATGACATGACATGATGCATGACTATGGTGGGCTGGGATGACATGACATGATGCATGACTATGGTGGGCTGGGATGACATGACAAGATGCATGACTATGGTGGGCTGGGATGACATGATATGATGCATGACTATGGTGGGCTGGGATGACATGACATGATGCATGACTATGGTGGGCTGGGATGACATGATATGATGCATGACTATGGTGGGCTGGGATGACATGACATGATGCATGACTATGGTGGGCTGGGATGACATGACATGATGCATGACTATGGTGGGCTGGGATGACATGATATGATGCATGACTATGGTGGGCTGGGATGACATGATATGATGCATGACTATGGTGGGCTGGGATGACATGATATGATGCATGACTATGGTGGGCTGGGATGACATGACATGATGCATGACTATGGTGGGCTGGGATGACATGACATGATGCATGACTATGGTGGGCTGGGATGACATGACATGATGCATGACTATGGTGGGCTGGGATGACATAATATGATGCATGACTATGGTGGGCTGGGATGACATGACATGATGCATGACTATGGTGGGCTGGGATGACATGACATGATGCATGACTATGGTGGGCTGGGATGACATGATATGATGCGTGACTATGGTGGGCTGGGATGACATGATATGATGCATGACTATGGTGGGCTGGGATGACATGATATGATGCATGACTATGGTGGGCTGGGATGACATGACATGATGCATGACTATGGTGGGCTGGGATGACATGACATGATGCATGACTATGGTGGGCTGGGATGACATGACATGATGCATGACTATGGTGGGCTGGGATGACATAATATGATGCATGAATATGGTGGGCTGGGATGACATGACATGATGCATGACTATGGTGGGCTGGGATGACATGACATGATGCATGACTATGGTGGGCTGGGATGACATGATATGATGCGTGACTATGGTGGGCTGGGATGACATGACATGATGCATGACTATGGTGGGCTGGGATGACATGACAAGATGCATGACTATGGTGGGCTGGGATGACATGACATGATGCATGACTATGGTGGGCTGGGATGACATGATATGATGCATGACTATGGTGGGCTGGGATGACATGATATGATGCATGACTATGGTGGGCTGGGATGACATGACATGATGCATGACTATGGTGGGCTGGGATGACATGACATGATGCATGACTATGGTGGGCTGGGATGACATGACATGATGCATGACTATGGTGGGCTGGGATGACATGATATGATGCGTGACTATGGTGGGCTGGGATGACATGACATGATGCATGACTATGGTGGGCTGGGATGACATGACAAGATGCATGACTATGGTGGGCTGGGATGACATGACATGATGCATGACTATGGTGGGCTGGGATGACATAATATGATGCATGAATATGGTGGGCTGGGATGACATGACATGATGCATGACTATGGTGGGCTGGGATGACATGACATGATGCATGACTATGGTGGGCTGGGATGACATGATATGATGCGTGACTATGGTGGGCTGGGATGACATGACATGATGCATGACTATGGTGGGCTGGGATGACATGATATGATGCGTGACTATGGTGGGCTGGGATGACATGACATGATGCATGACTATGGTGGGCTGGGATGACATGACAAGATGCATGACTATGGTGGGCTGGGATGACATGATATGATGCATGACTATGGTGGGCTGGGATGACATGACATGATGCATGACTATGGTGGGCTGGGATGACATGATATGATGCATGACTATGGTGGGCTGGGATGACATGACATGATGCATGACTATGGTGGGCTGGGATGACATGATATGATGCATGACTATGGTGGGCTGGGATGACATGACATGATGCATGACTATGGTGGGCTGGGATGACATGATATGATGCGTGACTATGGTGGGCTGGGATGACATGACATGATGCATGACTATGGTGGGCTGGGATGACATGACAAGATGCATGACTATGGTGGGCTGGGATGACATGATATGATGCATGACTATGGTGGGCTGGGATGACATGACATGATGCATGACTATGGTGGGCTGGGATGACATGATATGATGCATGACTATGGTGGGCTGGGATGACATGACATGATGCATGACTATGGTGGGCTGGGATGACATGACATGATGCATGACTATGGTGGGCTGGGATGACATGATATGATGCGTGACTATGGTGGGCTGGGATGACATGATATGATGCATGACTATGGTGGGCTGGGATGACATGATATGATGCATGACTATGGTGGGCTGGGATGACATGACATGATGCATGACTATGGTGGGCTGGGATGACATGACATGATGCATGACTATGGTGGGCTGGGATGACATGACATGATGCATGACTATGGTGGGCTGGGATGACATAATATGATGCATGACTATGGTGGGCTGGGATGACATGACATGATGCATGACTATGGTGGGCTGGGATGACATGACATGATGCATGACTATGGTGGGCTGGGATGACATGATATGATGCGTGACTATGGTGGGCTGGGATGACATGATATGATGCATGACTATGGTGGGCTGGGATGACATGATATGATGCATGACTATGGTGGGCTGGGATGACATGACATGATGCATGACTATGGTGGGCTGGGATGACATGACATGATGCATGACTATGGTGGGCTGGGATGACATGACATGATGCATGACTATGGTGGGCTGGGATGACATAATATGATGCGTGACTATGGTGGGCTGGGATGACATGATATGATGCATGACTATGGTGGGCTGGGATGACATGACATGATGCATGACTATGGTGGGCTGGGATGACATGACATGATGCATGACTATGGTGGGCTGGGATGACATGACATGATGCATGACTATGGTGGGCTGGGATGACATGACATGATGCATGACTATGGTGGGCTGGGATGACATGACATGATGCATGACTATGGTGGGCTGGGATGACATGACATGATGCATGACTATGGTGGGCTGGGATGACATGATATGATGCGTGACTATGGTGGGCTGGGATGACATGATATGATGCATGACTATGGTGGGCTGGGATGACATGATATGATGCATGACTATGGTGGGCTGGGATGACATGACATGATGCATGACTATGGTGGGCTGGGATGACATGACATGATGCATGACTATGGTGGGCTGGGATGACATGACATGATGCATGACTATGGTGGGCTGGGATGACATAATATGATGCATGACTATGGTGGGCTGGGATGACATGACATGATGCATGACTATGGTGGGCTGGGATGACATGACATGATGCATGACTATGGTGGGCTGGGATGACATGATATGATGCGTGACTATGGTGGGCTGGGATGACATGATATGATGCATGACTATGGTGGGCTGGGATGACATGATATGATGCATGACTATGGTGGGCTGGGATGACATGACATGATGCATGACTATGGTGGGCTGGGATGACATGACATGATGCATGACTATGGTGGCGTGCTGGGATGACATGACATGATGCATGACTATGGTGGGCTGGGATGACATAATATGATGCGTGACTATGGTGGGCTGGGATGACATGATATGATGCATGACTATGGTGGCGTGCTGTGCCATGCCATGATGCGCAGCAGAATGACTATGGTAGATGACATGCCGTGCCATGGTGCATGGCTATGGTGGGCTGGGATGACATGATATGATGCATGACTATGGTGGGCTGGGATGACATGACATGATGCATGACTATGGTGGGCTGGGATGACATGACATGATGCATGACTATGGTGGGCTGGGATGACATGACATGATGCATGACTATGGTGGGCTGGGATGACATGACATGATGCATGACTATGGTGGGCTGGGATGACATGATATGATGCGTGACTATGGTGGGCTGGGATGACATGATATGATGCATGACTATGGTGGGCTGGGATGACATGATATGATGCATGACTATGGTGGGCTGGGATGACATGACATGATGCATGACTATGGTGGGCTGGGATGACATGACATGATGCATGACTATGGTGGGCTGGGATGACATGACATGATGCATGACTATGGTGGGCTGGGATGACATAATATGATGCATGACTATGGTGGGCTGGGATGACATGACATGATGCATGACTATGGTGGGCTGGGATGACATGACATGATGCATGACTATGGTGGGCTGGGATGACATGATATGATGCGTGACTATGGTGGGCTGGGATGACATGATATGATGCATGACTATGGTGGGCTGGGATGACATGATATGATGCATGACTATGGTGGGCTGGGATGACATGACATGATGCATGACTATGGTGGGCTGGGATGACATGACATGATGCATGACTATGGTGGGCTGGGATGACATGACATGATGCATGACTATGGTGGGCTGGGATGACATAATATGATGCGTGACTATGGTGGGCTGGGATGACATGATATGATGCATGACTATGGTGGCGTGCTGTGCCATGCCATGATGCGCAGCAGAATGACTATGGTAGATGACATGCCGTGCCATGGTGCATGGCTATGGTGGGAGTGCATGCATGGCACGGTCATCAGAAGTGTTTGAGAGTTACACGCCTGTCAGGAATGGTCTTTTCAAATGCCTATTGTCATCAAATCATGCATTGAAATCAATTCCACACCCTCTCTCTCGCAAAAGCTACTTGATACATATCCTTCACCTTTCACACCTTCCCTCCGTTCCCTCCCTTCCCTCCCACCCCGCCAGTCCCACCAGCCGAGGACGTCACCTCCTCCAACCCCTCCTCCCTCACTCCCATCGTCACACCCTCGCCCATCGCCACCCTCCCTCTCTCCTCCTCCTCCTTCTCCGAGACCCACCGCACGCTGCAGCACCACAGCACGCTCAACGGGCTCACTGGCCGCCACCCCACCTTCGGCCCCATTGCAAGGTGACACCCAAGACCCAGAGGTGATAGCAGTGATGGTGCACGTGGTGCTGCTATGAGCTGGGTGTGATGGCGATGGCAATGCTGGTGGTCATGGTGATGGCATTGCAGCATTAAAGCACACTCAATGGGCTCACTAGTCGCCTCGCCACTCGCCCTTTGGCTCCATTGCAAGGTGAGAGGCGCTATGGTGCACCGTGGTGCTCATAGAGGTGCTGCTTATAAAGGGGGTGCTGGTACAGGTGGTGCTGCTGATGACGATTACAATGTTAGGGATTATGTCGACTTTCGGTAAGGCGACCTGAAGTTGCCTTCACGTATTTTGGAGAAGGAGGTTCTGACGTTAGGCTAAGCTGCCTGCCTCATCTCTCTCAAACGGTCTGTGTATAAGATCAAATAAGGACATACATGCAGGCAAGTATATGGCAAGTATATGCAATCGTTACTCACTTCTATCCCCTACCTCTCCCTGCCCTCACCTCCCACTGCTTCCCTCCTCGAACGGTCCCACTCGTCGCTTTCAAACAGGCTAGCCAAGCGGTGGGTGGGTGGCAAGCCATCTATTCTCATTGCAGCTGAAAGGAGAGGCGGTGGAGTGGAGGTACTGATGCCTCACACCCTCGTCGCGTCCACTCACTTCCCTCTCCTCCCTCTCCTCCTTCTCCCTCCCATGCACACCAGGCTAGCCAAGCGGTGGGTGGCGGCTCATCTCTTCTCATCGCACCTCAAGGAGGAGGCGGTGGAGCTGCTGGTGGCGCACACCCTCACTGCGCCCACTCCCTCCCTTTTCTCCCATTCCCACTCATTCCAGGCTAGCCAAGCGGTGGGTGGCGGCTCATCTCTTCTCGTCGCACCTCAAGGAGGAGGCGGTGGAGCTGCTGGTGGCGCACACCCTCACCGCGCCCAACCCCCTGCTGCTGCCCGCCCCCAAGTCGCGACTCGCTGGCCTCCTCAGGTGAAACAGCAGATGTGCACTCAGGTAGGGCAGTGTTCAGGCAAATAGCAGGTGTGTGCTCAGGTCAGGTGAAACAGCAGATGTGTTTTCAGGTGGAATTGCAGTGGGTTTTTCATGAGCAGCAGGGGAAGAAAACCTTTAGCCACTTTAGAGTAGCTGGTGTTTTGTTGTGTGCCTTCCTCCTCCCTCTTACCTCCCCATCCTCTCCACATCTTGCTGCTTCATCGTTCTCCGCAACTGTCTTGCCATTCCTTGCCAGGTGCTGCCACCCCCTCCTGTCAAACCCGACCCACTTCCTTCCATCAAGACATGGCCATAATGTCACGCTGGCGTCAACTCTGTGCTTCCCACAACCATTGATGGCCTCACCAACCAACACCATTCTCCCTAATGCCGCCGTGTGGTCATTTTCCCCTCCTCGCAATGTTTGCCACCGCCCTGCTGCACACGTGGCAGGTTCTTCCGCCTCGTGGCGTCGTACGATTGGCTGTCGCAGCCGCTCATAGTGGACGTGAACAGTGCTTTCTCTCCTGAAGACGTGCAGCAGATTCAGGTGAAAATCCAGATGCAAGCAAGAGGAGCAGTCTCACCAACCAATGCCACTCTGCACGTGTGAGGCACTTGTTGAGCTCTGCTGACCCTCAGCAGCAACGGTTTGCTGTTGCCGAACATGGAGCAATGCTTTGCTTTGCTGGCCTTGATTTCGAACGAGCTGATTCTTTCTCCTACCTGTCCACTTCTCTGCTTCTACACCCTTTTTCCCTCATCTCTCGATTCTGTCCCTTCACGTCACCCCCTTGACCCTTGTCTTCATCACCTGCTTCCCACCCCACAAAGCTTCATTCTATCTCTTACTCTCCACTCCATCACGACGCCTTGGCCAGCTGGGGGTGAATCGCTCTACCCTCTTCTTCTTCTCCTCATTCTCCTCCCGTTCCTTCCTCCTTTGCCCCTTCCCTTCCCCTGCCACGCCCGTTTTGACGCGCGCCTACGGCCCCACACATATACCGTGGGAAGCGAGGCATGAATCGTCTCTTCATCTTCCATCTCTACCCCACCAACCACCCCTCCCCACCAGGCTCGTTTCGATGCCCGCCTGCCTCCTCAAAAGGAACCCCTGGGCAGCTCAGCACGCAGCGTGGCAAAGCAACTCAAGCAGAGCACGGCGGAAGGGGGGAGGGAGGGCGAGTCGCCTCTTCACCCTCTTACCCCCATTCTTCCCCCCCAAACCCATCGTGTTCCCCCACCAGGCTCGCTTTGACGAGCGCCTGCCACCCCACAAGGACACGCTGGGGAGCTCAGCACGCAGCGTGGCAAAGCGGCTCAAGCAGAGCGCGGTGGAGGGGGGGAGGGAGGGCGAGGGGGAGAAGGAGCGGCGCCCCGCCATGTGCATCGCCACGCCGTACGATCGCGACGGCGCCATGTGGACGCATCTCGGACCGTCCGTTGAGGTGACGTGGCAATATTCCCTCATTTTCTGGTTACTGGTTGCTGTGCAATTTTGGTTCCAAACATTCTCAACTCAGAAGGACGGGTTTTTTAGTTTCTATGGCCTTCAGTTTCTATGGCCTTCAGTTTCTATGGCCTTCAGTTTCTATGGCCTTCAGTTTCTATGGCCTTCAGTGTCCGTGGTGATGGCAGGAGGAATGCCTTCTCATGACTTACCCACCTTAGACCACACCATACCACACCACACCACACCACACCACACCACATTGTACCATCCCCCACTGTGATGGCAGGAGGAAGCCTTAGAAGTTCTTGTGAATTATTACCCACCCCTATCCCGCACTCCCTCCCTTCCCCCCTCTTCCTTCCCATGCTCCCTCCCTCCCTATTCCCCCACTTTCCCTCCCCCCTCCCTCTGTGCCCTTGTGCGTCTCGTGTGCTCCTCTATCCGTTTCCCTCAGGCTCTGGAGCGTCTGTGTGCCTTTGCCGAAAGTGCAGCGCAAGTGCTGGCACAGCTGATCACAGGGGAGGGGGAGGAAGGGGGAGGTGGGGAGGAGGGAGGAAGAAAGGGAGGGGGCAAGGGGAAGGAGAGAGGCAATGAAAAGCACAGGGCGGTGCAGTGGAAGGTGGGTGTTTTGGGCCGCTCAGGCAGGTAACACAGAGCTGTGTTGCACATTCTTGCAAACGTCCCCTCTTTCCTCCCTTGGAAGGAAATTTGTCTTTCACCACTGCCTTGCCTTGCTGGATCAGAAGTTTTTTTCTCCCGCACCCCCTCTCATTCCAACATGGAACCCCGTCTCTCCTACCCTCCCGTCTCTCCTACCCTCCCGTCTCTCCTACCCTCCCGTCTCTCCTACCCTCCCGTCTCTCCTACCCTCCCGTCTCTCCTACCCTCCCGTCTCTCCTACCCTCCCGTCTCTCCTACCCTCCCGTCTCTCCTACCCTCCCGTCTCTCCTACCCTCCCGTCTCTCCTACCCTCCCGTCTCTCCTACCCTCCCGTCTCTCCTACCCTCCCGTCTCTCCTACCCTCCCGTCTCTCCTACCCTCCCGTCTCTCCTACCCTCCCGTCTCTCCTACCCTCCCGTCTCTCCTACCCTCCCGTCTCTCCTACCCTCCCGTCTCTCCTACCCTCCCGTCTCTCCTACCCTCCCGTCTCTCCTACCCTCCCGTCTCTCCTACCCTCCCGTCTCTCAAACCATCTCCCACGTGCAAACTTCTCCTTCTTCCCTTGCCCCTCCCTCCCGGCTGCAGTCGCTCTTCCTCTCACCGCTCTCCACCACATTCGACCTCATCATTCACCTGGACCCTGCATCCCTCCCCCACCACGACCGCGGGCTCTTCCCCGCCCCCAAGGCTCTGAGCACCGCCAAGGGTGAGCTCGCTTTCTACCATCCCCCATCTCTCAACTCTCCCACCACAGCATCATTCCCCTTCCAAAGGTGTGACACATGTGCAGTCCCAAGGTGCTATTTCTCAATAAGCTCGTGTAGGCAAACACAATGCAGGTCACAGACTCACCTCACACAACAAAGCTCATGGACTCTCACCTCACACTATGCCTGGTTGTCTTGCCGTCCAGCAGACCACACCACAGCTGACACAAGCATCTACCTTCTGTGTCTATTGCATGTCTGTTATGTGTCATGTGCCATGCCCATCGTCTGCTATCTGTCTGCGTGCAGGCTGGTTGCAAGTACCCTCGTCCCTCTCTCCAACAGATTCCACCTCCTCCTCATCCTCCTCCCCCTCAACCGCCCTCCCTCCTTCTCTCCATCGCCTCGCCTCTGCCGGCCCTCCGCTGCTCATTGGCTTCAATCCGACGGCTCTGCTGCTCACACACCTGCAGGTGAGCCGTTGGATTGACACGGATTGGATCCATCCGGAAATCACTGGCATGTTACTCGCGGTTTCGCACTTAATTGTTCCGGTTTAGTCTGCTCATTCGCACTTAATTGTTCCGGTTTAGTCTGCTCATTCGCACTTAATTGTTCCGGTTTAGTCTGCTCATTCGCACTTGCACCTAGAAGTCGACTCTCCTCTGCCGCCCGCTCTCCCGTGTTGTCGTTTTCATCGCTCAGGAACGGTTTGGCTCGGTGCTCACGTTCTGGTATGACGGCCTGTGTGGGAGCGAGGTGATTGGTGCCACATGGCGCATTCCCATTGGTGCATCTGCTGACGGCGGTGCTGCTGCCCCCTGCCTGCCCCGCCGGGCCCAGCAAGCCAACCTGCTGCCGTGCTCCCACCAGTCTGAGCGAGAGGTAGGACACTCACGACTCGTTGAGAGAGCGAGGTACAAAACTTTCGCCATGCTCAGAGAGAAGGGTATGCCAAGAATCAGACGCTGAGAGAGAGAGAGGTATGGTACAATAAAACGTGTCAAGAAAATAGCAGTGAACGCGTATCTATATGGTACATGCTGACATGCTGGCAGTAACGCGAGAGAGGGCGGTTCGGTGTGGAAACTTTTTGAGACATATCACTGGTGAGCAAGGGGGTTGAGAAGTGCTGACAGGGATAAGTGAGGGAAGGAGTTATGAAAAGGGACACCAAAGCTGATTAATTACTGCTGCTTTCACTGCACCTGCTGCTTTCACTTCCGCTGCTGCCATCACTGCACTTGCTGCTGTCCCTGTGCGCCCTTCTAGCCCTGTAAGTGCAGAGGTGGAGCAGGGAAGAGCAAGGCTGTGCACTCCCATGCTCCACCGTCCGCTCCACACTCTCCTCTCCCTTCCACGCTCTTCTCTCCTTTCTACACGTCCCACACCTTCCACACTCTCCTCTCTCCCGGTCCTCCACACTCTCCACTCCCTTACCGTCCACTCCCCTCCCTTACATGCTCTACCAAACCCTGCAACGCCTATGCCTTCTCTCCTCCCGCCACCCTAACCACTCACCAGCTGCTCTCTCCTTTCCTGCCGTCCCCACTCACCAGCTGCTCTCTCCTTTCCTACCGTCCCCACTCACCAGCTGCTCTCTCCTTTCCTGCCGTCCCCACTCACCAGCTGCTCTCTCCTTTCCTGCCGTCCCCACTCACCAGCTGCTCTCTCCTTTCCTGCCGTCCCCACTCACGAGCTGCTCTCTCCTTTCCTGCCGTCCCCACTCACGAGCTGCTCTCTCCTTTCCTGCCGTCCCCACTCACGAGCTGCTCTCTCCTTTCCTGCCGTCCCCACTCACCAGCTGCTCTCTCCTTTCCTGCCGTCCCCACTCACCAGCTGCTCTCTCCTTTCCTGCCGTCCCCACTCACCAGCTGCTCTCTCCTTTCCTGCCGTCCCCACTCACCAGCTGCTCTCTCCTTTCCTGCCGTCCCCACTCACCAGTTGCTCTCTCCTTTCCTGCCGTCCCCACTCACCAGTTGCTCTCTCCTTCCCACACCCTCCCCACTTGTCTCTTGCCTCCCCATGCCCAGTTCACTCACCTCACCACCTGCTCTCTCCACCCCTCACCCTCCCCACTCACCAGCTCCCATGCGGAGTGGTGAATGTTGCTGCCATCATCGATGACATCAGCATCATGGGTGCCGGCCTTGTGGCGTCTGTCCATGTTCGGCAATGACCCGTCCGTCCTCGGTCTATTTGCAGCGGTTACCCTGATGCCATCTGTCTAGGTGGGGGTATGAGCTTATGTGATAATGTGAGGCAGAGAGACCCTTGTGTCGTCAGTCAATGTGCAGTGTAACGGATATGTTATGTGTAACAAGGATTCTCATAATATCATATGTTAGTCAATGGTCTGTAGGCTGTCAGTGCAATTTATTATCCCTGGCATCAGCTGCTTTTTGTTCAGCTGCAGTACTACTTGGTACTGAATGCCCTATACACTCCAGCCAGCCTTAGCCTCTGCAATTTGTACACTGATAGCATAAAAAGGACATTTGCCAAGTGATGGGATTTCTTTGACATCACTGCTCAAATCAATCAGGCAGATCTCATCAAATGTATTAGCAGCACTAAAGACTTCATACATTGAACCACTAGATTGCAAAAAAATACCACATGCACTTCATCAAGTTTGCCACGGCTATTAGTATTCAAACCCCTCTTGGTCAGGGATTAGCTGTAGCTATCAGCTCTTGATCAGTGACACAGTATTCAGGACAAATGTGATCCAATCATCTCAAATCATGAAAAATTTCCATGAACATAACTCAGCTGAATCGAGTAGGTCTCTTTAACCTGCAACCACAACAATTGAAAATCAACCGACAACCATGAATCGCGGTTGTTGTGGCAGTATTTAACTCGTGATCCTATGAGGACAGATCCTACTGAGAGCACAAGCTGATGGAGCCACGGATGGTGTGGGGGTTTTTCAGCCACTCGTCCCACTGCCCAGAACCCAGGGGTCCTTGGGGGAAGGTGTGGATTGTTTTAACCCCACTCTGAGCCGATGCTGGCGACTAGGGTCTAACCGATGACGCACCTTCGAGTAATAATGCTCCTTCCACTTAACACAGCAGATTGTGATGGGCGCACAGATATAACGGTTCGAGCTGCAGATGGAAAATGCAGCACAGAAGAGAAATGAGGGTATGCTCGACTTGTAAAACAGGAACGGGGCGAGCAAAGGCGTATGACATGACCAAGCGAAACCAGCGCGTCAACAGGGAATGACGCCTCGCATTAGAAGCCACGTCAGCACGAAGCTGATTAGTGTCTGGATCACAGCAGCGAAGCTCTCTCACAGGGTAAACCCGTCCGAGCCATGATAGAAATCTGCGTCCAGAAAGAGTTTGCTTGAACAGCACAACAAAGTCATCAGCACTCGAACAGTTTAGGGGTTTACCTTAAAAGCTTGGCACCAGCGCAGAATCGAACTCGCAGGAACTCGCCCAAAAAACTCGCTCAGCAGGGTAATGTTGATCTCGCACCCTGTGGACGAAACGGTAGTCGGTCACACAGATGGTACAGCTTCCCCGCGGAGGCGAGTGTAGAGGTGCGATGCCGCCATGCAAGAGTCGTGGACGACTCTCCAGCACATCTGATCACAAACCGCCGGAAGGGAGGGCAAGCGGGACAGAAACAGTTAGGTCGAATCATGGAGATGTGCCAGCAGGAGACGTACGGAATGGAACGCTCCCCGTTTGAGATGTACCAGAAGGAGACTAATCGAACGGTTGCAGCAACGGCAAGGGTTCATCAAGCCCCCCACTGGGTTGGTATACTCGGCACTTGGGACAATCTCACTCCACGAGACACGGAGAGGTTGTACGGAGAATTTCGCCGAGATGGTGAGATGCGAGGGAAAAGAGGATGGTGGAGTAGGTGGAAAGAGCGGAAGAGGAGATCTGGTAGGCATGCAAGCGAGAAGCATAAACTAATAGCAAGCAGTAAGATGTCACGTCACGGTAGCTGGGGGTCAGAAAGAACGCAGCAATTTTATCTGGTCATTGCGGGGCATGGCGAACCATCCACGCTCCGATTTGCAAAACTCATACTATTCGTCACTCCCCCATAAAAATACCGATACATATGCCGTACGCAGTGAGCACGATGTTGGATGGAGACCAATGAAGCCCATCGCAGGCTAGTCAAGAGGAAGAATGTACCTCGGGCGTGCGCGAAATGTCTCGAAAGAGACGAGCGGCCGAAGCAAGCTTCTTTGCGATGTGTCGGCTTAGAATGAGCGAGGCAGGATGAGGCAAAAGTGTTGTCGCCGTTCACCAAACCGACGCAGTCCTGTCAGATCCATCTGTAAACCAATCAAAACAACGAAGAAACAGAGAAAACATCAGGTACGTTTAGAACGCTGGAAATGTTGCGAAGCGATTGAGGCTTTGGCGCACGGAAGTGGCTCTCCTCGTCTTCGACCGTGAGGGAGACAGAGGAGGTGCCACGCGCCCGCCTCACCCAGCCGTGCCGCTGCTCTACTTGGTGCGAGTCAGGCAGACCAGGGTTAGGAGATACCTGACGACTGCCTTATATAAAACAGTCACCAAGAGTTCTGGAGGATAGCCGAACATGACAATACAAAATATAATTCTAAAAAAAAGCAGGTCGGATGAGGGGGATGGACGGAGAGTCAGCAGAGGACAACAGAGCTACACAGCCGTCGCCGCCACCCAGTTGTCACTGGGGTCTCTGTTGCAAGTCTCTGGAATCATCATCCTCAACCGCGCTTAAAAGTACTTAGCTTAAACATAAAAAAACACGGTGCGGCAAAAAGTTGCGGAAAATAAACACACCAGCAAAACACGCGCATTGGAGACGAAGATGGAAGGAGAGTCAGTAGGAAGGCAACAGAATTACAATCGTCAATGCCACCCAATTGGGTGGCTCGGTTGCGCATCTCTGTATTCGTCATTCCCTCGCGTACTAGCACGAAACAAAAAGGCGCAGGAAAAAGAGTTACGGGGGAGGGGATACGGTGGCCAGCTCTCTTCAGTTCAGGTCTCCAATTTGCTTCTTCAGTGCCCGGTTTCGGACAATCTCAGAAGAACGAAAGTATTGTTTGATCATCCGCAGAGAGACGGGACCAGGGCTACAAAAGGATGAGATCGTAAGTCCAGACATGGAAGGCCAGACACTTAAGCCCAGACACGGAAGGCCTGACACTAATAAAATAACCACCATCAGCGTCGCACAGCCATCAGGCGTCAATTCTTCTCATTCGCAGCTTGAGCCACGTCAGAAGGTGTCCTAAGGCTTTGACATATGAGATAATTTCATCATAAGGCTGCTGCGGACCGACGGCGTCAAAATAACGAAGGCATACGGCAGAACAGCGAAGATGACTCAGACACGCTCAAATAGGGTTTTACAAAGACATGTCAGGCTGGTGGTTGGGGTCAGTACGAGATCGCCATCTTATTTTCCGTTTCACTGCAACGATAGCTGCATCTCAAATCAAGTGTTGGATTTTGATGGCTCCTCACTCCCCAACTTACACCGGACCTATGAGACCAATGAAAATAAACAGAAAGATACAACGTGACTGATAACGCAAGCATGTTGAGCTGACATGCGGACCGCAAATAAGAAAAGGGTTCTTTTAAAAAGTCACAGGCCCAACGATCAGAACGGTGGTTGGGGTCAGTACGATAACGCGGAAATATTTGACGTTTCACTGCAGCGTCGCTGCATCTCAATCTAATTGCTCCTCACTCCCCAACTCAGACAACCGGTTAGATTATTCCAATAATGATAATCACGAATGAAGAGACAACGTGGAGCTGACAAGCGGACAAGAGAAACACCAGACGGGGGAGGACAGAAGCCTTGCTTCAATGAGTTCGATCGGGACTTCCCCCCAGAGGTTAAAAAAAAGTAGCTTACCCGTGCGACGTGGCGGCACATGCCCTGCAGTGCGATTGTGTAACTGTGAGGAGCTTCCTCTCGCTGTGCTAGAACTGAACTATATGGACGAAGGAGAGAGAGAGCAGGTGCTTGGGATGAGAAACGAGAGAGGGAGATGGTCTGCGGAAAGTGGTGGTAAGCACACCTACCCCCATTGTACTTCTCGAATCATACATGTTCGCTGTTTTCTGGGTTGCGTAGCAGCCCTATAAACAGTATCTGGTTTCACAAACGGTTTGGGAAAAGCATTTGAAGACTGATTTTCTATCACTTTTTGAAGCTGAGCAACGTTATCAAACCGTGTTAAAAAAATGCTTCAAATCGTGGATAAAAATCACCCTTTTATGAGTTATCCCTAATTGTGAAACCAAATATGCGCGTTTCATGAATCTATTAATGTGTTTAACCATCGTATCATAGTCGAAGAACATGTCAGAAGACCGGCACTAGGGATCCCCGATTGATCTTAAGAAGGGTTACAGGCATGTTAGCCCGGGGGGTTATGGCCGCACTGACCCGCTACTGGATAAGCCCTTGTATCCCAATGGTCTATTGACTAGGATTCTGACACAACATATTCTCACATCGACATGAACGAATGCGGTTTTACATATGAGACAGGAAATTACTATTGAAGGTTGACACAAAGAAAGAGACATAATGCTCAAAAGAAGACAAACCGAGCGTAACGAACGACTCACATATGGCGTTTGAGATATAGATCCCCTAGCGTCACACGCGCGAGGCTGGTGTGCAGCAAGGCTCCGACGAGCAAGGCACCAGAGCGTTGCAGCAAGACGCCGGCGGGCTGCGAGGAGCCAGCAGGCTACAGCAGCGAGTCGCCAACACCGTGCAGTAAGGGTCGAACGCATTGCAGCAAGGCGCCAGCCACCCTCGCACTCACCCGCGCACTCACTCACGCACTCAGCCACGTACTCAACCACACATTCGCCCTCGATCTCAGCTAAACACTCAGCCACGCACTCACCTTCGCACTCACCCACGCACTCAGTCACGCACTCAGCCACGCATGCGGCCATCCTCTCAGCCATGAATTCATTCTCTCACTTACCCACGCATTCATCCTCGCACTAAGCCACGCACTCACCGCCACACTAAGCCACGCACTCACTCACAAACACAACCACACACTCACCCTCGCACTCACCATACATTCACCCATCTACTCACCCTCGCACTCACCCTCCCAATCAGCTACATACTCACCTTCGCATTCAGCCAAGCACTCAACCATGCACACATCCACCCACTGAGCCTCGAACTCACCCTCGCACTCACCCATACATTCACCCTCGCACTCAGCTGCGCAGTCACTGCCGCACGCAGCCACGCACTCACTCCTCATACTTGGTCATGCATTCACGCACAAAATCAGCCTCGCACTAAGCCACACAATACGCCACAAAGTCACCCTTGCACTCACCCACGCACTCGTTCTCGCACTCAACCACACACTTACTCCCCCACTCATCCAAACACTCACGCTCGCACTCAGCCACGCACTCGGCCACGCACCAACTCACTAACTTAAGTACGCACCCACCCAAGCACTCACCTACGCAATCATCCACGCATTCTGCCACGCACATCCTTCCACACACCCTCGCACTCAGCCATGCACTCAGTCATGCACTCACCCTCACAATCACCCTCGCACTCAGCCTCCCACTTAGCCATGAACTCACCCTCGCACCCAGCCACCCACTTAGCCACTCAGTCACCTTCGCACTCACCATCTTACTCTGACACGCACTGAGCTGCATACTCAGCCACGCACTCAGCAACACACTAACCTTCTGTCAACGAGAGTTGTGTGTTGGCCCCGTCCTCGCTTGGGCGGAGCCGACTTAGTGGTCGGGTGTGTGGGAGGTGTAGCCGACCTGCTGCAGTGGGCGACGCCGATTTGGCGAGCTGGTCGACGGGTTTGGTCGACCTGCACTGGGCCACTGCGAAGCCGCCGACAACGGGATGCCGGCGACCGACTTCCACTGGTGGTCGACGATGGGGCTCGTCGACCTGGAAGGGGCGCCGACTTGGGAGGGCGCCAACTTTGGGAGGTCGACCGGGCGAGGTCGACCTGGGAGGACGCCGACATGCTGACGCCGACCTGGGGAAGCCGACCTGGTGTAGTCGGCTAACAGCAAGTCTGGTCGACCTGGGGAGTGGCCGACTTTGTGAAGTCGGCTGATGGTCGTCGACTTGGGTGGTCGACGAGCACGTACAACTGTTGGTCGACTTGTACCGTGCAAGTCGACGTCGACCTGGTGGTGTCCCGGTCGACCAAGTTACCAGGGCGACGACGAGGTTATGCGGGATACGCAACAGTCGCCCAGGTGGTTCTGGCGAAGTCGACCTCGGAGGTGGTATCCTGAGGTCGACGTGGCTGATCAGGCGCAGTCAAAGACACGTGGTCAACTTGGCGTCTGCGCTGTGCACATGACGGTGTGCAGCACGCCAACCAACTGCGAGCACCTGCGAAGTAGGTGCGCTGCTGTCATGCGGGTGCAACGCTGTACAGCCGCCTTGCTGCAGCGTTGGCACGCCGTCGACTTCAACGTTGGCGAGCCGCCTCTCTGCAGCGCTGGAGCGGTGCGGACTTTGCTCCGCTGGAACGCGGTCGACCATGCTGCGCTGGAGGCGGACCTGCCCTGTGCGCTAGGCAGACTTGCATCTGATGTAGTCATTGCTGCCAATGTTGTTGCAGCTATTGTTCAAAACGTTCTCTGAAAACTCTTGCCGTTCTGCCCCGTGAACACGCAAGTGCCAGAGGACGCTAAGGAACGATACGATCCCTCTCACAACCGTGCCTTCCCCCATAGTCTAGCTCCCGTTGTAGAGTTAATCTCCGCACCCCCGCACTCAGACACACACTCAGCTTTACATTCGCCTTCGCAGCAGCCACGCATGCACTCACCTTTGCACTCAGCCACGCACTCACCCGCGCATTCACTCGCGCACTCAACCACGCACTCACCCTCCCACTCAGCCACTCACTTAGCCATTGTAACAAACATGGGCCCTTATAGCTATGGGCAAACGGAAATCCATGAAAACTACTTCATAAATATATCAATATTAATGCAAGGCTTCCAAATTTTAACCACCAAGGGATGGTAAGCCTTTAGTTGCACTTGATGAGCTTGAATTGAGACTTGAGGTTGTTGATGAAGCTTTGGTTCAAGGGAAATCTCTTGGAGTAGTTGAGTTAGAGGAAAACCACACTTTGAGCTCCGTAAGGAAGCTTATGAAGAAAGCAAAAGACTTGAGCAAAATCTCATTTCCAGTATTTGATAGTTGGAGGTGGGAAGTGGAGAATGAGCTTGGAAATTCCAAACCCCTCCCACAGAACTCCTTGGAGGAGCTGCACCTCCCCCATGAAATCAAGGGCGAGGAACTCCTAGGAGTGAGTTTGTTTATGTGGCAATGTGGTTAAAACTCTAACCAATGAGAGTAAGCATTGTAATAAATTATGAGCACTTTTAGGTTCCTGGCAAAGGTATCCCCAAATAGTTATGCAAATAGTTACATTGATATGTATATATGTAAAGGGTAGTGTTCGGTGGGAACCACGTATGAAGTCAATCACACCCACCCTCTAGCCACTATCCTTGAAATAAAAAACATGCACAGAAGGCAGACCTAGCTGCCATCGTTCTCATTTCCCAACTGGTATGCTGACCAGGTCCGAAGTCCCGTCACCCTCCACCTGCGTCTGCCGAGGCAGACCCATATGGCTCCAACGGTGTTAGATGCCTACAGCGGTCCAGTGCATTGGCAGGCCTCAAGACCACTACTTCAAAATTGTATTTGTAACAACCCTCCCATTCCTTGTTGCCCTCCCATTCCCCGCTGCCCGACCATTCTCTGCTGCTCTCCCATTCCCTGCTATCCTTGCATTCCCTGCTGCCCTCCCATTCCATGCTGTCCTAGAAGCCCTCCAACCCTCTGCTGCCCTCCCATTCACTGCTCCTCTCCCATTCCCTGCTGCCCTCCCAACCCTTACGGCCCTCCCTTTCCCTGTTGCCCTCGTCTCTCCTGCTACCCATCCCTCCCTTGGTGCCCTCCCATCCCTTGCTGCCCACCCAATCCCCGTTGCTCACCCCTTCCTTGCCCACCCCCCCCTTCCTTGCTGCCCTCTCCTTCTTTGCAGCCCTCCGCTCCCTTGCTGCCCTCCCCTCCCAGGACCTTCCATACAATTTGTGCCTCTCTGCTCGCAGACGCCGCCAACAAACAGGCCCCTGCCAAACATTATAGGTTTACTTTGTGTAGGCTATAGTGGGTTTAGCCTTAGGGGGTACAACAAACTTAGGGTTTCCTACTTGTACCCAACTTTCTGTTAGTTCATTCATTCTCGTTCGTTCTTAGTTTCTAACATGGTATCGCGAGCCTAGGTCGTAACCTAGGACCGAATGATATGGGCCCACCGTTTCCACTTAGTCGCGCCCTAGCGCGCCTCGCCTAGTCGCGCCCTTGAGCGCCTCACTCTCTCCCTCACTATCGCGCGCCCTAGCGCACCTCTCGCGATCGGCCCTGCCTAGCCCGCACGCCCTAGCGTGCCCCGTGCGATCGGCCCCGCTCACCTTGTACGCCCTCGCGTGCGACCCGCGCAGCACCACGCGCGTCACCTGCCCCGCGCGCCCTTGCGTGCCCCGTTCGGCCCCGCGCCCTCGCTGCCCCGCGCGCCCTTGCGCGCCTCTTAAGGACCGGCCCCGCCCCTTAGCGCGCGCCCTTGCGTGCCCCGTGCGACCGGCCCACACCCACCCGCGCGCCCTTGCGTGCCCCTCGCGTACCGGCCCCGCCCCGCTAGCCCGCTCTTCCGTGCGACGTGCGACCAGGCCCCGCCCCCTCTAGCTCGCCCTTGCGTGCCCCGTGCGACCAGGCCCCGCCCCGCTAGCTCGCCATTCGTGCCCCACGCGGACCGGTCTCGCTCTGCCCTGCACGCCCTCGCGTGCCCCACCTCGAGTAGCCGCCGCCTAGCCGAGCCGAGCCGCCCCACCGAACCGAATCGCCCGGCCCGAGCCGCGCCGCCCTACCGAGCCGCGCCGCCCTACCGAGCCGCGCCACTGCTGCTGTCACTGCTACTACTGCTACTGCTCTTACTGCAATTATGGCTAGCCCTGCTGTGCTCGCTTTCGATGCTGAGGGCCGCCCGCTGAAGTTTGACACCTGGCTAGATGACTTGCACCTGTTCCTCCAGCTCACTGCCAAGGAGGATATCTCGCTGTACGATCACGCACTAGGACACGCTGCTGCCCCTGCTGCTACTGCTGACAGTACTGCCCGCTCACAGTGGCAGACTCGTGACGCCCACGCTCGCTTCGCTATTCGCAACTCCCTGCCGGTAGATGAGCGCGAGCACTTTGGCCAGCACAAAACTGCACAGGCACTGTACACTGCTGTAGTTGCACGCTACTCCTCACCTGCCTCTGCTGCACTAGGCCGTCTCTCGCTCCCCTACCTGTTCCCAGACCTGTCCGCTTTCGCCACAGTCGCTGACCTTATCACGCACCTCCGCACTAGTGAGGCTCGCTTCCGTGCTGCCATGCCCGCTGAGTTTCTTGCCTCCCACCCCCCCCCGCTCTGGCTCACTCTCTACCACCTTGTCACCCGTCTCCCTGACTCTCTTCGTGCGGTCAGGGACCACTTCCTCGCTCGCTGCCCCACTGAGCTCACCGTTGACCTGCTCGAGAAGGAACTACTTGCAGCTGAGACTAGCATAGTCGCTGTAGCTGCCTCTCGTGGCGACCCCCGCACCCCTTTCTTCGAGGGGTGTTCCCCTTCCCCCCTTCTCCCCTCTGTCGCCTCTGCTGCTGCTGTCGACCTCGTTGGTACTGAGCAGGTCGGGACTGCGTCCGCTCCGAGCTGGCGCCGCAGCGGCAAGGGCAAAGGGGGCAAGGGAGGTGGAGGTGACGGCAGGGGAGGTGGTGGTGGGGGCGGTGGCGGCGGTGGGGGTGGTGGCGGGGCTGGAGGGGCTAGTGGCAGCGGTGGGGGTGGAGGCGGCAGCAGCGGAGGAGGTGGCCGGGGTGGGGGCGGTGGTTGGGGCGGCGGTGGACGCGGAGGTGGCAGGGGCGGTGGTGGTCGAGGTGGTGGCGGCGGCGGTGGTGGTCGTGCAGGCACTGGCGGTGGCCAGAGCCAGCAGCACACTCCGTCGTCCCAGGAGCTTCGTGAGTGGTACTCTCAGCACGGGGGGGGGGGGGTGGCCTTAGCTGCACGTACGTCATCCGCACTGGTGACCGCACTGGCCAGACGTGTGGGAGGGCGCACACCACGCAGCGCTGCTTCCCCCGCCTTGACGACGCTTGGCGCACTCAGTTCCCTACTGCCACTGAGCTGCCCCGCTGGGCTGAGCTGATGAGGAAGAACATTGATATCTATGCACTTGACTTTGATGCTATTCTCACTACCATGTATGTGTTGTCTACTAGTGGAGAGGGTGATCAGTACCTGCGTGTTCCGCCCGACCCAGGCATTCGGACCAGTGAGGCTGCCGCTCTAGGTGCTCGCGTGTCTGCTGCCCCAGGTGCTGGTGAGGCTGCTGCTCTAGGTCCTTGCGTGTCTGCTGCCCCAGGTGCTGGTGAGGCTGTTGCTCTAGGTGCTAGTGAGTCTGCGCCCCCTGGTACTGAGTCCACTGAGGCACTGCACACCTTCACTCTAGACTCAGGAGCTTCTCGCTGTTTCTTTCGTGACCGCACTGCCCTTGAGCAGCTTGCTCGGCCAGTTGCTGTCTCCCTTGCTGACCCCTCTAGGGGTCCGGTCATTGCGACCTCCTCCACTGTCCTTCCTTGTCCTGCGGTTCCGTCGGGCACACTGTCAGGTCTCCACCTCCCCTCGTTCTCTACGAACTTGGTGGCGGGTTGTGCGCTCCAGGACGGGGGTGTCCACCAGTTCACCCCTGCCTACGAGCGCGTGACACACTGCACGTGTGCTTGGACGGGCGGTCACCTGGCTACCTTTACTCGGCAGTCGGGGTCGGACCTGTACACACTGACCACTGCGTCCCCTCAGGTAGCTGCGTCTGCGTCTGCTTCAGGTCAGCTGTCTGCCCCCTGCTCGTGTCGCTCTCTAGCACACGAGACTGTCCTCTGGCACCACCGCCTTGGTCACCCGTCAGTGCAGCGCCTTCGTGCCATGCACAAACGGTACCTTGTCTCTGGTCTTCCCCGGGTACTCCCTCCCCTCCCACCCTCGCCTGCTCCTCCCTGCCTTCCTTGTGTCGAGAGGCGGCAGCGCGCCGCTCCTCACTCCTCCTCGTTTCCCCCGACGACTGCTCCCTTGCAGACGCTCCACATGGACGTGTGGGGCCCAGCCCGCGTCCGTGGACAGGGTCAGGAGAGGTACTTCCTGATCGTTGTTGACGACTACTCGCGCTACACCACGGTCTTCCCCTTGCGCACCAAGGGTGAGGTCCCTGATGTTTTGATCCCTTGGATCCGCGCTTCTCGTCTCCAGCTCAGCGAGCGGTTCCGCTCGGACTTTCCTGTCCTGCGTCTGCACTCTGACAGAGGTGGTGAGTTCTCCTCCTACCTCTTGGCAGCCTACTGTGCGGAGCACGGCATCAGCCAGTCGTTCACGCTTCCGGCCTCTCCACAGCAGAATGGGGTTGCTGAGCGCCGCATTGGCTTGGTCATGGAGGTCGCTCGTACCTCCTTGATCCATGCGGCTGCCCCCCACTTTCTGTGGCCGTTTGCGGTCCGGTACGCTGCGCATCAGCTCAACCTCTGGCCCCGTGTCTCCTTGCCGGAGACCTCGCCCACACTGCTGTGGACGGGGGAGGTTGGCGATGCGTCGCGTTTCCGGGTCTGGGGATCTCGAGCTTTTGTCCGCGATACGTCCGCGGACAAGCTCTCCTCCCGCGCTGTTCCTTGTGTTTTCCTTGGCTTTGTCCCGGACGCGTCTGGTTGGCAGTTTTACCACGCCACCTCGCGCCGTGTCCTGCCCTCTCAGGACGTCACTTTTGATGAGTTGGTGCCCTACTACCGCCTCTTCCCCTACCGCACTGCCCCGCTCCCCCCCCCCGCCTCTCTTCCTCGCGCCAGGTGCTGCTGTGGTAGACCCCCTCCCCCCTTAGAGTGCCGCTCCCTCAGGTGTGTCCCAGGTAGACCCGGTTGAGCCTGTCGAGGTAGCTGTCGACTCTCGTCCTGCTCGGGTTGCTGAGCCTGAGCGTGCGGAGCCTGGGGGTTCGGAGCCTGGGGTTGCGGAGTCTGGGGGTGCGGAGCCTACGGGTGCTGAGTCTGGGGGTACTGAGTCTGGGGGTGCTGAGCCTGAGGGTGCTGCGACTGAGAGTGCTACACCTGGAGGCGCTCTTTCCTCACAGCAGCTGCGTGAGTGGTACTTACAGTACTGCAGCCTCAGGAGAGGTGCTGCTGGAGCTCTTGCTCGGGCTTCCCCTCCTAGGCGGTTGCTGCCCTCTCCCCAGCGGCTCCGAGAGTGGTACGCTCGTCGCTGCAGTCTCCGGAGTGGCGCTACTAGTGTCACGGACCCTGCAGCTGGAGGTGCTGCTGGTGCTGCTGCTGCTGGCGCTGCTGCTGGAGCTGCTAGAGGTGCTGCTGGTACTGGTGCTGGTCCTGCTGGAGCTGCTGGAGCTGCAGGAGGCTCTGCTGCTACTGGCAGTGCTGCTGGAGGTGCTGCTGCTGCTGGCGGTGCTGTTGGCGCTACTGGAGGTGCTGCTGGTGCTGGTGCTGCTGGAGCTGCTGGAGGTGCTGCTGGTACTGGTGCTGCTGGTGCTGGTGCTGCTGGAGCTGCTGGAGGTGCTGCTGGAGCTGCTGGAGGTGCTGCTGGTACTGGTGCTGCTGGTGCTAGTCCTGCTGGAGCTGCTGGAGGTGCTGCTGGTGCTGGAGCTGTTGGAGGCACTGCTGCTGCTGGCGGTGCTGCTGGAGCTACTGGAGGTGCTGGACCTGTTGGCCCTGGAGGTGCTCGTACTGGAGGTACTGGAGCTGCTGGGACTGGAGCTGCTGAGGGGGTTGGAGCTGGAGTTGCTGAGCGGCCGCGGCCGTACTACGTTCCGCTCCTTCAGCAGGTTCTTGGTCTCCCGCCCTCTCCTGGTCCTCCTCCTCCCCTACTGAGTCCACCGCCTGTCCAGTCACAGTCACAGTTACAGCCTGCCTCTCCGCTGCCTGGTCCTTCTCCTTACACTGCACCGACGGGTAGTCTTACTGAGCGTCGTGAGCCTGAGTCTCGTCCTCCGTCGCCTGAGTCTAGTCCAGAGTCGCCTGTCCGGGCTGTCCGCGCTGGTCGTCGTGCTCCGCGTCAGCGTCCTCCTCCTGTCCTTGGCACTCACTATATGACCCTGCGTCCTTCCACTGCTCCACAGCGCGTCCCTCTGCCGTCTCCTCCTGCGTCCTCTCTTCCTGACGTTGCTGACCCGCCGTCAGACCTTACTCGTGCTGCCAGTCCTACTGTCGCGCGTCTCCTTGCCACTGTTGTCACTGACCCTACCTTTGAGTCCTCTGCTGCGTCTGCTCTAGTCGCGGAGCTTGTTGACTTTGCTGCCGCCTGTCGTCTAGACTACGCCGCTAGCCTTGTTGCTGAGTCTGAGTCTGTCTGTCCTCCGTCCGTCGGGGGTGAGTGTGCTCTTGGCACGGACGTCCTTGAGGACAGACAGGAGGAGTTTGAGTGCTTTGCTGCTGCTTTACCTCATCTCGTGTCCGTGCTGATTGCCCCTGAGGGAGACCCGGATGCACCAGACATCCCGACCCCACGCTCCTACGCAGAGGCGATGGAGGGTCTCTACTCCTCTCAGTGGCAGACAGCCATGGACGCAGAGATGGGGTCCACAGGCACCTACGTCGACGAGGTTCCCCCACCTGGGGCGAACATCGTCAGTGGCATGTGGATTTTCAGGGTGAAGCGGCCGCCGGGTTCTCCGCCTGTCTTCAAGGCGCGTTACGTTGCACGAGGCTTCAGTCAGCGAGAGGGAGTTGACTTTCTTCCAGACCTTCTCCCCGACCCCGAAGATGACCACTCTTCGGGTTCTGCTGCACGTCGCTGCTCAGCGTGACTACGAGCTCCACTGCATTGACTTCAGCACTGCGTTCCTACAGGGCACCCTGCACGAGGAGATCTGGCTGCGCCGCCCACCTGGCTTCACTGGGTCGTTCCCTCCTGGTACCCAGTGGAGCCTCCGGCGGCCAGTCTACGGTCTCCGCCAGGCACCTCGTGAGTGGCACGACACACTGAGGACTACTCTTGCTGCTCTTGGGTTTGCTCCTTCTACTGCTGACCCGTCGCTGTTTCTACGCACCGACACCACTCTGCCGCCATTCTACGTTCTCGTGTACGTAGACGACTTGGTCTTTGCTACTGCTGACACCGAGGCACTCGCCCACGTGAAGTCGGAGCTGCAGAAGAGACACACGTGCACAGACCTGGGTGAGCTGACAAGCTATCTTGGCTTGCGGATCACCTGGAACAGAGCACAGCGCACCATCACCTTGACTCAGTCACACATGGTGCAGCAGGTCCTTCCGCGCTTCCGCTTCATGTACTCCTCGCCTCAGCCCACTCCTCTGCCTACCGGTTACTCGCTCTCAGCTCTGCCTTCGGATGAGTCCGTAGAGCCGAGTGGCCCGTATCCAGAGCTTGTGGGCTGCCTCATGTACCTGATGACCTGCACTCGACCTGACCTAGCCTACCCTCTTAGCATCCTAGCACGCTATGTCGCTCCTGGCCGTCACCGGAAGGAGCACATGGATGCCGCTAAGAGGGTGTTGCGCTACTTGTGCAGTACGTCGGGCATGGGGCTTGTGCTTGGAGGACGGCGCGACGTTGTCCTCACTGGACACTCAGACGCTTCTTGGGCTGACGACCAGGCTACTCAGCGGTCGTCTCAGGGTTACACCTTCAGCCTTGGCTCTGGCTCAGTTTCTTGGCGTTCTACACGCTCTTCCTCTGTTCTCAGCTCCATTTGTGAGGTTGAGATCTACGCCACAGCCATGGCTGCCCAGGAGCTTCGCTGGCTCACCTACCTGCTGACCGACCTGGGAGAGCGGCCTCGTTCTCCTCCAGTGCTGTACGTCGACAACAAGGCCGCCCTTGCCTTGTGTCAGGAGCACAGACTGGAGCACAGAACAAAGCACATCGCTCTGCGCTACTTCCTTGCTCGAGAGCTACAGCAGCGTGGTCAGCTTCGTCTTTCGTACGTGGCCACTCGGGCCAACACTGCTGATGTGTTCACCAAGGCTCTTCAGCCTTGTGATCATCAGCGTTTCTGTACTGTTCTAGGCCTTGTGCCTACTGTCCCTCACTTGCTCACTTCTTGACTCTGCTTGTACTGTGATCTCTATATATATACCTGCATGCTTACACTTGCTAGGTTGTGATCACTGTACCTCTTGTTTATTATCAAACTGCATGTGGACTGGTCTTGTGACCGCTTGCTTGTGCTCGGAATTTGTGTGGTATCCTTGAGATCCACCCTGAGCTTTGCTTTGCTTTGCCTTGCTTTGACTGGTCTTGTGACCATCTGGTTGTCTCCCACTTAGCCTATGGGGGTGTGTCAAACATTATATGTTTACTTTGTGTAGGCTATAGTGGGTTTAGCCTTAGGGGGTACAACAAACTTAGGGTTTCCTACTTGTACCCAACTTTCTGTTAGTTCATTCATTCTCGTTCGTTCTTAGTTTCTAACAGCCCCTTCTTCTTCCTCTACCGCTTCTTTCTTGTCCTCTACCTTCACCACGCCCTCCCTCAATACCCCTCTCATGCGTCGCCTCCATGCCCCCCCACTTCACGATATATGTGTAGCCCTTGCAACCTCCGTAACTGCCCCCGAATCACGTCGTCTTCACTCCTCAACCCACCTCTCTCCAAGTGTTCACATGCTCTACTTCCTTGTGTATCGTCCCAGTGCACTACTTCGGAACGTCACCCATATCAACCGTCTCTACTTCATGAGGGACATCCATGTCCGAGGCGGTGAATCCATCCCCGGCAGGTACAGGCTGCAGGCGGTGAATCCATCCCTACCAAATATATCACTCAACACTGGATCTGCAGTCCCAGTAACATATGCTTCGAGTCTGCTCCCATTCTCTTCTCCATCCCCCTCAACTGAACTAGAGCTACCATCTCCCCCCCTAACCGACTCATTGTCCAGTTCACTCTGATCACATCGCTCACCAACAGTATGATCACTATGCATTCCATCACAATGAATCCCTCTCCGATGCCTTCGGTTACATGCACTACAAGGGGCTACGTGTACCGCACCGTCCGCATCTGTCATCGTTAGCACAACCAATTTACATGCTAGGGTTTTTTAAGCCTCCCACAACACCCTATTCATGGCCCGACCTCACATGTCCGGGAGTTATGCCCCACCTCACCACATTTGCCGCACATTGGGTTGACCTATCATGTCGAGCAATCTCTTCCGTGGCCGACATGCTCTTTTGGAGTAGACTGGTGGTAGAGTAACTCCATCCGGGATCAGAGACGTGGGGCCGAGGAGTCGAATCGAGGTCTTGTACACCTGGTGCAACGCTGAAACCGAGTGACAGTTGTGTACCAATGCGTGCACTTTGTGTCCTTCACCCTTGAATACGGCAAATATAAGGACACATGACATTCCGTACTCCCTTTTGTTGGGATATTTTGGTTGTGGGGTAGGTTGTTGGTTATTGGGATGATATGTCAAGTGAACACTTCTACAAAGACTTGCGTATACGTGGTAGTCATACGCATTTTGTGTGTGTCCATATACTATGCATGCAACCCTACTACCTTCCCATCTCTTGCTGACCTCCCATCACTTGCTGGCCCCCCATCCCTTGCTGCCCCTCTTCCCTTGCTATCTCCCCTTACCTTGCTGCCCCCCCTGCCCGTGCTGCCCTCCCATCCCTTGCTGCCCCCCTCTCCCTTGTTGCCCTCCCTCCCCCTCCCGCCCCCCCCCCCTTTCCCCCTCGTCCCACTGCTGCCCCCTCCTTCCTTGCTGCCCTCCCACCCCTTGTTGCCACCCTTTCTCCTGCTGCCCTGCAAGACCAACCCCCACCCTGTGCTGCCCTCCTATCTCTTGCTGCCCTCCCATCACTTGTTGCCCCCCAACCTTTGCTGGCCCCCATCCCTTGTTGCCCCCCCTTATCTTGGTGACCCCTTGCCCTTGCTGCCCTCCCATCCCTTACCTGGTGTAACCACACGTGCAGCTGGTAGAGGAAGGATCAGTGGGGTTTGTAGTCACGATTCTCAATTCCACCCCTCGGCTCACATCAAACTCGTTCTCTCCCAACCCGCCAGCCTCGTATTCCTTTCATTCGTCGCAATTTCCCTTCAGAATAGGTCGTGTCCTTGGCGGGAAGTCAGCATTTGTGAGCTTTGAGTACTTGAGGGGTCTCTTTTCAACACTCTTAGCAAACTTAGCTGATGAATTTAGCAACACATGCGAGGCACTCTTGTCACGCAAGCCTAAGAGCGATGCATGGTGTGATTCAACAGGATCTGAGGGCATGCCGCCAAAATGCGGAGCACCAAAGTACACCGTGGTCCACTTCCTACCCAATCTATTATCCTCAAGATGCATTGCCCTACCAGATCATTTCAACTCGATTTTCTCCATCATATTATGGTAAACCAATGGGGTAGGTGCTGTTGCGTCTACGGGGATCCTACCATCCAAATCTGTCCGTAACGTGTTTTTGAAATTGTGCACCAAGTGCGTGATGCAATAAGACTCCCATATTAGTGGGAGACAAGTTGCCGTCGCCGAATTCCATGCTCCCCCTCTATCGTTCATGAAGACAAAGTCGGAGGACTTCACCTCCGGTACAACCTCTAGTAATGGTTAAGAAAATGTAGGTACAGTAATGTTTATTTTTCCCCTCGACCCATGCAAAACCTGTTGTGAAGGATCCGTCACTTTGAGAGCTTACGACGAACTCATTACTCAACTAAACGCAAATCCGCTTGGTAGGATTGTGCGCCTTAGGCTTAGCTACCATCTCCAAGTTGAATCAGTCGTTAAGATGGTCTAGAGAGTGAGAACCAAGTAAAAACGTCCAGCAGCCGCATTGACTAGAATGGTGGAAGAAGTACAAGCATTAAGGCATAGAGAGTTGGAGTTGGGAACCTCCAAGAGAACCATGAGAGGGAAGGGGTTCTCCAAGAGCTAGGGAAGGATGGTAGGAACCTTCCTAGCAGCAAGGATGCAACCCTCATCATGAGGTCCTTGAGGTGTCACATGCAAAATCCAATCTAGTTGGATTTTGCCTAGGTGTTGCAACATTTGCAACCCATGCTAGAAACTTCTAGCCACCCCAATCCAAAAGTCAAAGTTGCATTCCCTAACCACCCAACCAAAGATCCATTTATAGTCATGTCCCAATAGTCGCCCAAATTAGATATAACCCCAAAAGGTAATAAGAAATCCAAGTCTTGGAAATCTTGTAACTTGGGCGATCTTGGTCGGAATAAGGCGATCTTGGTATCATTGGAAAGCTCTGGATTTCTCCTGCATGATGAACCATGTAGACTTGGAGAAAAAACACAGAGTTATATTATCTAACAGCCATGCACAATGACATATGCTCATGCAAATAATGCACGCATGAATAGCATGAGCACTCAGAATGACGTGCATCCAACAAACTCCCCCTCAGACTAATGGACTGCATGCATACACACTCACACAAATGCACACTCTCATGCACACAATCACACATGCACTCATAACACTGCTGCCCACACTAGTGCAATGCCATGCCACACATTTTAGCACACTTCCAATGTGCGCTCTCGGGAAGTCTCTTGGTGAGAAAATATGCCGCTTGCTTGCTAGCCTTCACATGGTGAAGCTCAACAATCCCCTCCTTCACCATCTGCCTCACCCAGTGCCACTTAATCTTCATGTGCTTGTTCAGCCCATTCAGGATAGGATTATTGGCCATGCCAATAGCAGCCTCGCTGTCGGAGAAAAGTGGTGTAGGTCCCTCCTGTTCAGCTCCTATGTCCTCCAGCAGCTTCCTCAGGAGCACGATCTCCTTGATGGCATGGTACATCACCATGTACTCTGCCTCTCCGGAAGACTGAGCAATCTCACTTTGCTTCTTGGACCTCCAGCTCACTGGTCCACCTCCGACCATGCACACAAAGCCGCCAACTGATGACTGATCCTCCTCCTCTGAGGCCCATGTGGCGTCGGTGAAGCACGACAGCTTCAAGGTTCCAGGCGTGATCCCATCTGCCCCAATCTGTTTCAGCTGGCCACCAGCTGAAAAACTGAACACCAGCAGATGCCGTTGATCCGAGGTAGCGCACCAAGCGCTTTGCCACCTCCAACTGCTCCTCAGTGGGCCGCTGCACAACTCTGGCTAGCTGCCCCACTCCGAATGAAGCATCAGGTCGCGTATGCACAGCTGCATACATCACACTCCCAATGAGTGACTGGTATTCATTCTGCTGCTCATCCTCGAGTACATCATCCTCCTCAACTGCCTTCTTCAGTTTGAAGCCCGCAGGGAACGGTGTCATTACAGTGCGACCCCCAATCACACCATAGCGCTCCATGACACCAGAGATGTAGTGTGACTGATGCACCTTCAGCCACCTCCTCTCAACATCCCTCTCAATCTGCAGCCCCAAGTAGTAGTGGACATCCCCCAGCATCTTGCACTTGAAGTTGTCCATCAGCAGCTTCTGTGTCCTCTCAATCTGCTCCATGGAAGGTGAGAACAGCAGTATGTCATCGACATACACCAGCAGCAAAAGCAACTGCTCCCCCTCTCCAAGCAGAAACAAGCTGTGATCCGCCTGGGACGTCTTGAAGCCTCCACCCAGCAGCACCTCCTCCAGCTTCTCGTACCAACACCTGGGCGCTTGCTTAAGGCCATAGATGACCTTCTTAAGCTTGCACACCCGGCTGGTCCCATCCTCATAGCCGTCGGGCTGCGCCATGTAGATATCCTCCAGCAGCACTCCATTGAGGAACGCAGTGGTGATATCCATCTGCTTCACGTGCCATCCCTTCACAGCTGCGCCAGCCATCAAAGTCCTCAATGTCACTGGCTTAACAACGGGAGCGAAGATCTCCCCGAAGTCGACCTTCTCCTTCTGCTGAAACCCCTTGGCGACCAAGCAGCTCTTGAACCGCTCCAATGCACCATCAGCACCACTCTTCACCTTGAAGACCCACTTGCTGCTGATCGGCCGTCGCCCCTCGGGTAACTCAACAAGCTCCCAAGTCCCATTCTCAATGAGACTGTTGAACTCCGCATCCATGGCAGCCTTCCACTCCTCCTTCTAGGGTCCACTGAGTGCCTCCTCCAATTTG